GGATGGGAATCCCTAGCATGGCCGGCCACAAGGGATAAGGGATAGAGGAGAATTTTGGTTTGAAATTCAAATTGGAGATAGAGATTGGATTCCTTTTAGAAGTTTGACTTCTACTCTATAAATACTATTTTTTAGACAATTTTCGGAATGGTTTTTTGCCCTAATTTTAGAGGTAGCCGAAATTTCTCTATAGAAATTTTGGAAACAATTTTTCAGCCCTAAGAGTTAAGGCTGGCCGAAATTCTCAAGAGAGAGAGGAAGGAAAAATTTTTTTTCTCCAAAAATTTCACATCGTGCATGCGTTGGTGTTTGTGAAAATTCGAGTGTTAATTGTAACCCGTTTTGTCTCATGTGTGCCCACACACACGTCTTCGTGGATTCTAGGAATTGACGTGGAAGACATTGGTTTTCTAAACACAAAGATTGGAGCAAGGACTATTCGTGGTCAAAGAACTCAAGTTATCATCCGAGTCGGCTTCCAGGTATTTTTCCTTATTGAGTTCTTGATATATATAAGTTAATGAGATTAATTTATTCGTGCATAAATTAATATAATCTATAGAGTATCTCAAAAATTTTATGAAAATTTTTATTATACACGATCCGCCTCTCTCCCGCACCACCACGCTTCCGCAGCCGGATTCGATTCGGCGACCAACATTATTATCAAAGTTTCTTTATTTAATATCAAATCTACTACACTTTGAAAATTTGGCCACTTACAGGCATATTTTCTTGTCTTAAATAATTAATTAACAAATAACAACCTCCTTCATTTGACTTTTTCATTTATTTATTTATTTATTTATTTATTGTCATAATATCTAGATTGCAGAAAGTGCGGCCTCCACACACCATCAATTTTTGTTTACTCTTTTTTTTTTTTTTTGTATAATTTGAATGTTTGAATTGGTTCATCAGTTTCTCTAATATATCATTTCTTTTTTCTTTTTTCTCTTTTTCCTTATTCTATCTTCTGAACTGCACTTAATTTACTAAACAAAGTTGTTTTGGATCCAAACCTAATTAAAATTGTTAAAAAATAATGTCTCAACGATGGTAGTACCAAATTTATAACTTACCATAAATTTAAGAGGAAGTTTTCTGATATTTTGAGTTGTGATGGACAAAATAATACGACCTTTATTTTTCGAGTACCAAATAATGATAATATTATCCTTTTGAATAGGTTCATGCCTCTCTAATATGCTTTTTGTTTTCCTCATTTTCCATATTTTTATTTTCTTGAACTGTTTTTAATTTACCAAAAACTATCCTATTAATATTACATTGTTTTGGATCATCAGATATGCATATTTTTAGTATGATATGATATCATATAAGAACAACCTTTTTTCTGTATTATTTTGTTGTTCTGATTTGGTTCAATTGGTTCATCAGTTTCTTCTTTGATACTTCCTTTCTTTTTCCTTTTATTTTCCCTGTTAGAATTAAAAAAAAAAAAAAAAAAAAAAAAAAGTCAGCAAAGAGCAGAGACTAGAGAGGAGATGACAATACGTGGTGGGTGGAGCACAAAGATTGGTTTAAAATCCTTAACTTTAGCCTTATGTCTTGCTATTCTTTCTTCTTTCTTTCTCTCTTCTTACCTTGTAGATAGATAAAAATAATTCTCACTTTTCTTTTTCTCAATCATCACCACTTTTTTTTTTTTTTTTTTGTTACCCTTTTCACGTCTCTTTCTTCTTCTTCATTTCCCATGATCTTTTTGTGGAACTGAAGGGTGGTTTGACCTTTTCAGTTGGTTTGTGATCTCTTTCAAGCTTGTTAGAAGAACCCCATTTCACAGTTTGTTCTTCTGATCTTGTTCAAGGGAAAAAAAAGGCCTGGTATGTTCTTCACTAATTATGTATTTTTATGCTTAAAAAGTTTATACTTTTATTAATTTGTATATTCTATTCCTTTCTTTTTTCTTCACTTTATCTGAAAACTAAGTTGTTGGTTTTGATGGAAGTAAAGGAATTTTGTCCAATAGCTTCTGCAATTAGAATCCAAGGATTCTAAAGGGGCAAAAAAAAAGGGGGGCTTTTTGTTACTCTCTTATTAGAATTGATTAGTGATTCTATCTAGTGTTTTTAGAATTCTGATTGGAATTAGAACTAATCATCTATTATTGTTCTTCTAAGTTTGGAATATATAGCTGTCCTTCCTAATCTGACAGAAACAGAAAGAAGATTGATTAGTGGCTGCATAATTGCATTTGCATACATGTTCTCACATGATCATTTGACAAGGACATTGTCCAGGTTGATTTATTTTTATTTTTTTAATTTTACAAAGAGGATTATGTGAATTAGAATGACCTCAGAACAAAAATAATGAACCCAACTTTATTATGCTTCATAGCTTTATCTGTCATAATTAGAGTGCATAATTTTGTTTGTACTTGTCCTGAAATGTTTATTTTGCCCCTATGGTTTTGGCAGCATAATTACAGGTTTATAAAAAAGAAAGAAAAAAATCCCATCCCATTTTGGTGTTCTTCTAGTGGAAATGGGGGGTATAGTGGGAAAGTCTGAATCACCCAAGAAGGTTTGCACACCAGAAACAAAGCTTGAAGCCAAAATTGTGGAAGCCATGAAGAGGAGAGCAATCCAAGGAACCTCCATGAAATCATTCGACAACATAATCTTGAAGTTCCCAAAGATTGATGAGAGCTTAAGAAATTGCAAGGCTATTTTTGAGCTATTTGGTAAGTCTTTGTTTGTAACGACATCTATTGTTTTATCATTCTTGTGGGTGTCCGATCCAAAAGCATACTTGAACTTGAAGAGCGGCTCATGTGGTTTGGGCCTCGAAGAAGTGCCTGAGCCCATCTATTGGGCGCACCGACGGATTCTTAAGGGACTTCTCAAATTAAGGGTCAAAACTAGTGGTGTTTGGGGTCGATTCCCGAGTCTAGTCCTGGATGGTGTTTAAAGGTTTTGATTGCGCCTATTATGTTAGTTGCAACTTGTGGGTGGATGGTTGCAATACCTAGATCAATGTCTTTCTCATTTTTTATTTGTTTTCCTCTTCCTAAAATAACAGATGAGGATTCAAATGGTGCGATTGATCAGGAAGAGATGAAAAAGTGTTTCCATAAGCTGGGAATTTCTTTCACAGAGGAGGAGATCAGTGACTTCTTCAATGCTTGTGATATTAATGAGGATATGGGAATAAAGTTCAATGAGTTCATTGTTCTTCTTTGCCTTGTCTATCTTCTCAAGGATGGTCAGACTGCAATTCACACTGTATCCAAAATATAGTGCTTACTTATACCCGTGACACACACCATATCTTATCTTATATTTATAGTTTTTTTTTTTTTTCTTATATTCTTTGGATATATCTAGAGGCTATTGGTTAGTTAGTGGGGACGGAAGTGTAATGTTGGTCGTTTCGCCTGATAAGTCTTGAGTTTGAGTAAGTCCCACTATAGTGAGCGGAGTAAATGGACAATTTACTTCGTGAGGGGGATCCATGGCCATTCTGTGATACCTCGTATTCCCGAGGTTATCTAGGTATACCATTTTCTATTTTTTATAGGCAAGAGAAAAAATGAACTCTATTTTTTTTATTTTTTATTATTTATTATTTTTCAGGCTTTTTCTTTTTAAGATTGATGAGTGGCTATACAAGAATGAATCACATAAGGAATAAAATTATTCGTAATAAAGTAGGTGTAGCACCAATAGAAGATAAGGTGCACGAATGCCGCTTGAGGTGGTTCGGGCATGTCTAACGTAGACCGCTAGAAGCACCAGTTCGTGTTTGGGAGGACATTCTTATACCTAATACTAAGAGAGGGAGAGGTAGACTAAGAATTACGTGGACTGAAGTCGTTAGGAAAGACATTTTAGATTTAGGCCTTTAGGAAAGTCTAATTTCGAACAGAACCGTGTGAAAAAGTGAAATCCATATAGCCGATCCTAATTACGTTGGGATTAAGGCTTGTTGTTGTTGTTGTTGTTAGGCTTTTTCTTTCTGGTTTTGTTGTCTCCTTGACTTGCTCTAGAAATTGAAAGTTGTGATGCCGAATCAGGAGACGACATTCGAGACATTGGTGGATGCATTTGTGTTCTTGGACAAGAACAAGGATGGCTATGTGAGCAGGAGTGAAATGGTTGAGGCCATAAATGAAACCACATCAGGGGAACGCTCTTCTGGGAGGATAGCCATGAAAAGATTTGGTCAGCTCTCTTTCTATTTCAAAACTATCTATCATCAGTAGTAATGCAATCATCACATATGCGATACTATATTAAAATCGTTAGATAATAAAGTAAGACCTTGTTTTTTTTTGGTAAAAAAAAGTAGGACCTGGTTCTTTTACTTTCTATCTCGTGACAATTCTCATTTACCGACACACAAATGGTGGTGCATCACTATCTCTTACTCTATAGGTAAATTAGTGAAACGATGATGTTGATAAAGAAATTTTTCCTTTTTTTTTTTCCTGCAGAAGAAATGGACTGGGATAAAAATGGAATGGTGAGCGTCAAGGAGTTTCTTTTCGCATTCACTCGTTGGGTCGGAATTGATGAGGTTGAGGAGGAAGAGGAAGAAGAACAATGAAAACTACAGGATTAAACACAAATTTCTTCTTCTTTTTCTTTTCCCTCTTGTCCTTTGAGATGTTGTTGCTTTGTAGCTAAGCTTACTAGGACAATCTTGGGCCTTACAGAACCCTTTTTTTTTTTTTTTTTTTTGTTCCTCTTTACTTTTTTCTAATAAAGGACCACTTGATGTCTCATCAAAATATGTGTAAAGTTGCCTCATTGTGTCCCTCCTTGTAATTCCTTTGTAAACATCATGAAGCTTTCTCACCACCATAGTTAGGAATCAACCCCACTCTATTCTATGTTGTGTAATGTAATGTAGGGTTTCAATGTCTATTTATTTAACTATGTCAAACAACAAAGTTGAAGCTTTTTTTTTTTTTTTCTTTTTTCTGTCTAGTACGAACTACAATGAAAACACAACTATTTGATGTTTGTGAACTGGCAAACAGTTGTCCAAACTCAAGCAGTCTTTCTGGGGCAAATGGCAAATATATGGAAATTCAGAAGAAGAAAAAAAAAAAATCAGCCACAAATTGGTCATATTAGAACCTTAAAAAAAAAAAAAGACAAATATTTAACAAGAACATTATCTTACGGAGGGAAATTCAGCTCTTCTTATTCCACGACTACATAAACTCTTAGGTTCAATAGCTAAATACATGACAACATAATCAAGATACGAGATCAAAAGAAACATGTTTGCCTCTGTCCAAAATCCCGATTCTGATCATTAACCCGTCGCCATTAAGAATAATATTTGGATTACAGACGACGTGAGAAAGAGCGAGAGACGGTACAAACAGATCTCGTAACAAAACTTTGCTCGAAGATAACAAAAGAATGACAATAAACCAATGTTCTATAATCTACAGTTTTGAAAAGTACAAAAACACGCCATGATTCCGAGACAACACGCAAATAGGGTAAGTAGTAGACTAGTAGTAGATCGTTGCTGCCTCAATACTCTGTATACAAGCAAAAGCCATAACTTCACTAAAACCCCCATTTTGTAACAAAATTGTCACCACAAAGCGTAAAAATAATAAGCCTAATATTTTGCAGTCTCGAGAAGGACAACTCTGACATGGAAAAGAGAAAAAAAAAAAAAAAAAAAAAAAAAAAACAAAC